AGGAGGGCATAGTTCGACCCCAAGAATGTGCGAGAAAGAAACAAGACATTTGATGCTATGCGATGGAATCACCACTGAATCTTACGGTCCTTACCGCCAAAGTACTTTGCGATTAAGCTCTCGTAGTAGGGTTTGAGCTCTTCGGGGTTGAGGGGATCGTCTGATTTCGAGTACAGATCGTAAGGGTTGAATGCGAGCACGTTTGCCAGCGCTTCTTCGTCCTCAGGGGCGCAGAGATGGCGGTAAGCGCCCTCCCTGTGCCATGGGTAGAAGCTATGGTATCGGATCATGTCCAAGGCGGCTTGGGGCAGTGTGGACTCGCGCTTGACGACCGAGTAAAGGTATTCGTCGTGGCCGAAACTGAGCATGACATTCTGCAAGCCACAGTTGGGCTCGTACATGCCGTACTTGGTATTGTAGCGTGGGTCGTGGAAGTCAGGATTGGCTTCGAACGTAGCCGGGTAGACGGTTCCCTCGGGAGCGCAGCCGACAACAAAGGTATCCCCGACTATATCCCATTGGCCGTCAGCCCCGAAGAAGCAAAGAAGCTTGCCAAGATCATGAATGAGACCAGTAACCTGCATCCAATCGGGTTTGGCATCGCGACGCATGGCCTCGGCAGTCTGAAGCGCATGTTGGGTCTGCGAGAGCGATGTATCCGGGTCTGACTGGTCAATCAGAGTGTCGAGCTTATCCATTGCCTCCCACACCGTCATTGAGGCGTTGCGGTTCTTGATGAATTTTTCACGTGCGGCGATATTGAACTCGACAGTCTGATTCTTGTGCTGAATCTTGTAGAATGCCTTGACGTGGTCTACAGCTTCTTCAAAGCGGCGAAATTCTGCCTTGTCCTTCTCCGAATCGAAGCGAGAGCCCTCTCTGCGCCATGCTCGATCGTGGGCACTCTCGGGCCTAGGTGCCTCTGGGTGAGTGCCAAGATAGACGTTGACTTGATCAACCATATCAGAGATAGAATCCATAGCGTTGCCCTTTGCTACGATGCTGCTTTGGGTCTTGGAAGCCGGAGTGGGGGCCACAACGGGCTGATTTGCGATGGGTGCCATGGTGAACGCTGCTGTGTGATGTGAAGGAAAGCAATCAAAGTGAAGAGTTTGAGGATTTGCGGGGATTGGAGTGAAAGTTGGCGAGTTGAGGGTGCGAGTTGGTACAGTATGTTCTACTCATACCTGGAGCTTGCTTGGCTTAGTCACATGTCACGCACCCAAACGAACAAGCTTGCCTCATGACACGGTAGGAATGGACCGACAGCGCCCTAGAAGAGCGCAAAACTCTGTTTCATACAACAGTGCGAAAGAGAGATGACCGGTGAATTCGGCAGCAGCACAATTGCGGGGTGCTTGCGAGGTGCTTATGAAGCTCTAGCACAGCTACCTAGGGGGCTAATGGCTAGCTCCAGTCACTAAGGAAAGCTGCTCTTTGCAACTGGATCAGGTTTCCCAAGAAATCGGTGCGTAGTCATACTGTATTAAGTGCGAACGTCGGTCAAATTCTCAACCCATCAAGGGATCGTATTCTGGAAGTTGAGCCACTCTAAGCGGAGTCATGGTCTCGTCACAGACAGTTGTAAATTAAATTTACTGTACGTCGATGCTCGGCACAGTCTTGTGCATATTGAGTTGAAATTCGAAGTTCTGGTTCTGTTCTTGTTCTTGTTCTTGTTCTTGTTCTTGTTCTTGTTCTTGTTCTTGTTCTGTGCTTGTTCGAGTTCTGTTCTTGTTCGTTTCCAAAAAGTTATCTTCAGGTCAAATATCGCGAGAATATATACTTTCGGCGAGGCCTCGAGAATTTGGTAAAGACAGCGAATTCTGTCAAGTACAGCCCGCTGTACGTGTCCCAATTATCAGTTTCGCCTCGATCTAATTTACGCTGATTTCATATGCGCTCTGTTCGCTTCGCCTTTAAGCCAAATTTATTTTCGCCCTATTCGCTTCACCAAATTTATTTACTCGGTCGGCGTGTGTATCTTCAACTTATTGTAGGCAATTCAGACACAAACAGGTAACGAAAGCCGGCGAGGGTCTGCTGCGAAAGTGACCGTCAGAGTCAATTGACCGATGATTAAATCGCCGTGGTACATCCGACACCATAGTGACGTCACCACCGCCACAACTTTGGTCTCGCTTGGGCCAATTTATGCAGTCTCTTGCACAACTCACACACTACTGCATAAGTTAGTGTGAAGTTCATCCGATGGATTCAGACCATTCACATAAGCGCGAGAGGGAGCGAGTTCAGAGTTACCATTACGAAGAATGCGTCGATGTGTTAAGTGGCTCGACCGACCTAGTGTTACAGATGATTGCGATGCGAGTGAGATACTGCCTGAGAAAAGAGAGAGACGGAAAGAAAATATGCATGCGAGTGACAGGGACAAGAGACCCTCTAATACAGAGTGGGCGATAAACATACATATGCCTGGTGTTAAGGGCAAGGCAACGTGCCGGGTATCTAAGGCAGTCTGTGCTGGACAAGGAGAAAGCAAGAGAGAGAGCGAGAGAGCGAGAGAGAGAAAGAGAGAGAGAGAGGGAGAAATGCGCCTGGTGTTAATGGCAAGGCGCCATGCCTGGTATCTCTAATTGGGAATGCTGGTTCTCATAGTAAACGAAAAAAGGGAATGTGCATGTCAGGGTTGCCGAATCACAGATTCGTGGGTGTCTTGGCGTGGTGAGGTGGTTGCTCGACGACGGAGACCGATGCGGTGCCTGAGTTCGTCCCAAACGAGCGCCTTCTCAGCGGCGGCACCACCGGTCATGATGTCGCCATTCTCAAGAGCACGGCGGATCAAGTAAGGCAGCGTGAGCTCGAGAGGTCCGTAGGGAATGTATTTGAGAACCATGTGAGGACCGACGCCGCCAGAAGTGGGGTCAAATGCAGCTTGGATACGTGCGGTGAGCACCGAGGCCATGCCGTAGAGTTGGGCAAAGAAGATACGACCGCGCACTGAATCTTGCAGCTGCAGGTCCACCAGTGGAACGCGCTTCAGCATTGCACTCTGTGACATGCCAGCGTTGTTGTCCTTGGTAGCCTGCAAGAGCGCGGGTGTGGGCTTGGCCATGCCGAGGCGAACCATCTCGCGGATCACCTTGAGTGTCGACTGGGTGTTGTGACTGGCAAACACGACGGCCAGGCTGGGCTGAGTGCCCTTCTTAGCGCTGCGAGTGAGATCCTCATTGATTTCTTGTACGAGACGAATGGCGCAACCGTCATAGCATCGGTCGGTTAGATCCTTGTTGGGCCAGACGGGGCTTCCCCAGCCTTGGTAAGCAGCAGCATCTGCTCCCTTACCAGGAACAGGAGGTGGATCAACGATCTTGTCAGACCAGATTCGGTTCTCGATGTCAACGTAAGCACCTCGGACGAGCTTGATACCAAGTGTGTAGCCATTGAGCTTGGCGCGCTCGAAGGACGCGGCGAGATGCGAAGGGGTTCGACGAAGGTAGGCTTGGAAAGTGTTGTAGACTAGAGGACCGGTAACGCTGCCCTGAGGCGCATCAGCTGGAACAGAAGCGGGTCGGTTGTACTCTGCGGCGATGGCTTCGTACATGGCATCGATGGCTGGCTGATACCACGAGTATTCGGCGTCGATGGCGAGACGGACACTACCGTGCTGCTTGGCTCGCTCGGCGACTTCCCTCAAAGCTTCCCAGAGCTGCTTGAGTGCCTCTACGTCCTGGGGCGGTAGAGCGGCAACAGGAATTGCAAGACCGCCACAAGGGCCCTTTCCGTTGATGCTAAGCGGTGGGAGGGGCTCGGGAGGTGAGCTGAACCATTCCCTCGGTACGATGGCAGCCGATGCACGTTCGAGAACAGATGAGTCATAAAGCAATCCCGAAAGCTTGATAGCAACAAAGGTACTTCCAGATCGGTCAGGCCGGGCAGCTAATTCGGCGGCTTGCTCGTCGCCGGCAACGCCATGCGAGGCAGGAAGTGCAGCAAGCTTGGCGGAGACGTCGATACTGTGCAAGAGCTCGTCAACGAAAGGACGGTGAACTGCCGACTTCGGAATGACATGGTTCTGTGGGCTTTTGGCAGGCTTGCGATCGTGAGTGACTTCGACTGAGAAATTGAGCATGGCACCAAGATTGTCGCGCGATAGAGACGAGAGCAGAGGCAGCGAGCCTTGGGCAGTGTCGTCGCTGATGAACTGACGGAAGAAGGTGCGACGAACAATGTATTCGGTGATATTCCAAACGAAAGGCAATGAAGTGCTAGAGCTCCATTCGATTAGGGAAGGGCCAACCTTTGCTAGTGAGCCGAACGAGCAGAGGGTGAAGACGACGTAGTTGGTGAGCAGCATCGAAGCTGGCTGGTTGCGTAGAGGGCGATAAGGACGGTGTGTCTCATCTTCGCGCTGAACTTCGTCGCAATGAGCTTGCGCGAGCAACTTGGGCTTGACAGAGATTTCTTCAGCATCGAGATGGAACGGTTCAGTGATGGACAGGGTAAGCGCAGTCAAAGCAGTACCTGCGAGGGCCACACGAAGGGTGTAAAGACCGAAACGACTTTTGCTCGAAGCTTGAGTGTAGGCATGGTAGGAAGCAGATCGACTACCGGCGATGTTGAACGCGGTAGGTTGGTTTTCTGTGAGCGACCTAGGCAACGCAAGCTTGCTGGACCAGCTTGGTAAAGCTTGTGACCGCCAAGCAGAAGAGCGAGCCAGGTGATAGACCATATTATGGTTTTGCGCCATTCCTCGCAAGAGTGCTTTAATGATTTGTACAAGTCCTCTTGCGCAAGTGGATGTTGTTGAAACAGATGAGGGGATAAAGAGGTGGGTAAGAAGGGGACCACGACCAAGGAACGAGAAGTACAACCCGAGAGGGGAAGAAGAGATAAGCAAGCAGCAACTCCAAATTCAAGGTCACGAGGCTCCTGTCATTGACAGAAAAGCCGAGTCAAGTCAAGGCAGAGGCTTGACCGACATTGCGAGATAAGTCAAAAAAGGGGTCCCAAGAAAACAATATCTTAGGGAAAAAGAATGGAGACTGCATGAGTCGAACACGCGACCTTTCGCAACTTAGACAGATGCTAAGCGAACGCTCTACCAACTGAGCTAAACCCCCTGGATGGCTATCGGCTAATTTGCTGTACATATAAATAGTCAAATTCAAAGTCATGCGCTGTCTCTGATTCTGAGATACCCTAAAGCAGCACGTGTCTGTGTGTTGCCTAGGCCGGCGAGATTTAACAGGTTCTTTGGCTGAGTCTCGCTGGATCACTTCGAACTGCAGCTCGGCACGATGCAGAAGCGCACGTTGAGAACACACAGCGATCAAAAACATGCACGGTACACACACACATACACATACACACACACACGTTAAAACGTACAATAACAGCTTAACTTTGTACGATTTTTCTTTTCTTTTTTCAATGACACATCGCTTCCTTGCAGAAAGAAAAGTAAATTGAATTCACAACCGATATCGCTATCGCCTTCTCTACTTTCGGCGGCGAAACAAGTTCTGCGCACACGTAATTCATTTTAGGAGCTCTGCATGAGTACCGCCTAACCTGGACCGAGAATCGCATCCCGCAATCTTTTAGTAGAGGAATCGTCAGGGTCCAAATTTCTGTAAGTGTGAGCAAAGGTTCTTGTCACATGCGGTTCATGAAACAGGTTATGTACACTCCTTATTTTACTGTACTTGTTTGCAAACCACTTTTTTCTCAAATCCTCTTTCCTTTTTTCCCTTTGTGCCGCTTTTCTGCACGCTTTGTACAATTCCGCTCGCTCGCTCGTTCGCTCATCTCGTTACCGTCCCCTCTCCCTCGCATCAGTCTCCGTCAACGCAGGGATCCCGGTCACACCAACCATCTCCGCCATTTCTTAGCCGTCGTTCTCTGTTTGATCGACAAGCACACCGAAAGGTCGACTCTCCTTGGCGCACTTAACCACCCATTTTTCTCTCCTCAAAGCCGCCGCCCTTCATGATGCAGACAATGCTGTCTTCGCTGTGGGCTGGTGCATCTGTCGATGCGAGTCTTCACGACGATGCAAGTTGCCATGTCGATCAGGATCCAGTGGCAGTCTATCTCTCCATGTTGTTGTGTGTGGGCCTCATTGTCTCCTACCTGCCACAAATCATCCGCATCGTACTCAACAAGTCATCGCAAGGCTTTTCGCCATGGTTTTTGCTACTCGGTGCAACCTCCAGCGCATCCAGCTTCCTCAATGTTGTCGCGCTTCAATGGGGCATCGTCAGGTGCTGCTCTTCTTTGTCAACCTTGAAATGCTCCGAGTCACTCTTGGGCATCCTCCAAGTCGGTTTGCAATGGTTTATGTTTGCTACCGTTTTGGTCCTTTTCCTCATCTACTATCCCGCAGATCAGCGTTACGAACGCGCTATTGCACTCCCGCATCGTGATCAGCAGGATCGACGCCTTCGCAGTCAGGCACGAAAAGCAGCTCGAAGAGCAGCTGCTGTCCGACAAGTCCCATCCCACAGCACTGAAAGCACAGGAAGGCTCGCCGCCCCTTCAAAGGCACCTCGAGCCCTCGCAAGTACTTCCACGGACGACATCTCGTCGGCTGGCTCAGACAATTCAGACCTTGATTCGGTCGACAGTCACATTGCTCAGAACTACGCAAGTATTCCTGCTCAGCGTGACGGCGATGACACCTCCTCTGATGGCGGCGACGACGATGATCAAGACCACCACCGTGATCCTGAAGCCCTACTGCAGCCGACTCGCTTTAACAACTCTCATCCACGAGACGTGAGCAGCAGCGCCTTCTCGCGGCTTGCCCCCGCCTTCTGGCCAATGTGGAAGGCTCCTGGTAGCGACAACACAGGTGCATCTCAGCAAACTCGCTCGTCGGCTCAGCGCGGCATTCTCTCCAATGCCCCTCGAGGCATACGTCGAATCGAACGCCAGAGGCGCGCCAAGATCGGTCAGAGGGCCATTCGTACCCGCAAGCGCCGTACCGAGGAGTGGAGTCTCGCTGTTGCGCTTGCATGGGTGGTTTTGATTCACTTCATCTTCATCAGCGCCATCACTCTTTTGCTCGTCAGCTCGTTGCCGCCAAAGTCTTTCCCGCCACCAGAGGAAGTATCTGCCCTCTCGAGCTGGACGCAAGCTATCGGCAACATGCCCACCATCGCCCTGAGCCGGCCGTCTTCGCGCCTGCTCGTCTCTCGATGGGCAGCCTTCTTGGGCAGTTCAGCGACTGTGCTCGCCGCTGGTCAGTACCTCCCACAGATCGTCTACACGACACGCTCCAAACTTGTGGGCAGTCTCAGCATTCCCATGATGTGTCTGCAGGTACCAGGTAGTGCCATCTTTGTCTACTCTTTGGCACTGCAACCGGGCACCGATTGGTCCTCGCTCGCGGCATACGTGCTGACCGGCGCGCTCCAGCTCGTTCTGCTTGTGCTCTGCGTCGCTTGGCGCTTCCGTCAAAAGCGCGCTGGTGTCGACGATTATGGTCGCCCACTTGCTGCTGTGGCGCTCTGACAACCTCTTTTCCATCGATTTGTAGACGTACAACATGAGGCGGTCCGCCAATGAATCGGGCGGCACGGAACGCGGTCATGACAGCCTCACGAGCTGCACTGTAACGTAGATTTGACTCGAAAGTATACGAAGTGGGCTTTCATCTGTTTGCTTAAGGTGCCACCTCATTTCGTCCATGCGATGATGAACCTGGGTCAGCCACAGCGTGTGCTCTCACTCGACCGTCGGCGGCAGGGTGGGCTGAAAAGGGAGTAGGTTCAGACCTAAGACGGCTCTTGCCTCAGTACCTGCACCACCTGGCCGATGGATCTATCAACACCTCCAAGCCATCCAGACACCGACCCCGGCGGGAACATTGCACATGCCACCACGATGAGAATTCTGTCGCTCTACAGCCTAGTCCTGCTCTGCTTCAGCCGTATAGCGCTAGCACATCCAGTAGCTTTCACGCATGAACGCCGCGAGGCCCAACGAGAGCGTGAGTTCCCCTACAAATCTGATGAGCGTGCATGTGGCGAGGTAGCTATGTCGTCTCTTGGCTCGAAGCGTGCAAAACCTCTGACTTACAATCATTCTGTCAACAGATCATGACTTGGTGCCACGGCAGTACAAGGCGGTGACAGCCCTTGAAAACAAATACAACATTGCCGGGGCAGTCGCTGCCTCACTAGTCACACTGGTGTCAACAGGCGTAGTTGGCTTGATTGCCACACAGCATCTCGCGTGCAAGAGCGTTGCCAAGCAGCAGGAGATCATGCAAAAGAACTGGGATCTCATGCATCCTGATGGTTTCACACCTGCAGGAGATCAGATGCGACCGGCCTCGTTCGATTGCAACACTCAAGAGAGGAGGTTCAAACCCCTCATACCGTATGAAAACGCCGCCAACTATTACTGAGGTAGCTAGTGTACTTGCCGTCCAAATTTGTCCAGGTCGCCATTTTTGTTGCGACTCTTCGAAGCCTTACATCGCTGCAATGGCCAGCGCGCTCTTCTACCGTCACTACATTCTATTTTCTTTAAGCATCTTACGGGCAGGTCTCTTTTAGTTTCGATGCCACATTTGATTCGAATACTATCTTTGCCATCGGTACGTACGTACACAAACCCTCTCATATGACAATCTGAAAGAAATGAAGGGATGAGTGAGAATCGCCGACTTGAAAAGCGCATCGGGAGGGCGAGTATGTAGTTAGCCGCCAAAAGCCGATGAGAGTGGGGAAACGTTGGACCCCTGTTTGCAGCCGAGATGCCTTATGAGCCCGTTTCCAATAGAACGCACGGCAAAAAGCGGCTTAGTTTCCAGGCGATCAAAGCAACCTGTCCTACTGCATCACTTCCATATCTTTATCAATCCTTCACCCTGTTTTTTGACCGCCGAGGTGGAGCACACCCAAAATCGCCAATCGAGCACCGATCGATTCATATCATCCCCTCCCTCAGCTACACTATCCGACAGTACTGCTGCAGCGGCTGGACCTCGTGCAGCTGTTTTCACGGCCTTTCAACCTGGTTTGCCTCATTCAGTGACATTGGTACCCCGCAAATTAACGCATCAAGCGGAACCATCTTTAGACATAACCCAAGCTTTGATCCACCATCTTCCAGCAAATAACCGAGCATCTCTGGGCAAAGGTGCGTCAAGCAATGGAGCCTACTGCCCCGTTCGAGACAGTAAAAAGATGAGCGACTCCACCAGCACCTCGGTACCGCCTGGCTCGCAATCACCCGCGCATCAAACGGCGCCAGATACAGATGGCGGTTCACTTGGGAAAAACTTCCAACGCTCGTTCAAGGCTTGCGATGGATGTCGAACTAAGAAGGTCAAATGCGAGCTCGGTGATCTTGCGGCACCATCGGAGCCACCATGTGCGCGGTGCAAGCGCGAGATGCGTCCATGTCTCTTCACCATGTCGACTCGTGGTCGCGGTCCCAAAGCCCGCTCATCTCGGTCGCAAGCATTCGGCGTTCATCATCTCGCCAAGAATCCACGCACTTCAGCTGCCCACGACATGGACGAGGATGATGAACACAGCGCTGCATCTTCTGCCATAGATGCGCTCGCAGGTGCCGCCCTGGCATCACTCCCAGCTACAAATCCCAGAATCCATTCTGCTCGTCACGACGTGCCCGTTTCTGCACTTGACCGACTCGACCTTCCGAGCATTGAAATGATCTATGGGCTCAATCATCGTGATGGCTCGACTGCGCAAGGCAAACGAAGGAAGCTTGCCAGCGACGTCGACCAGACTGAGCACGCTGACAACGTCATAGAAATTACGGACCACCAAAGCTCCGAAGACCGGATCGACCCAATCACTCGATCCGCCAGTCCATCTGCCGCAAACGCGTCTCACGAAGAGCCTCTTGGCTTGATCTCGAGGCTTGATTCTCTACAGCAATACGCAGAAGTTGGCCTACAGCACAGTAAGGATGCGCTTAGAGTGCTCGCAGGTGTCGCGGTGGACTCAAGCGAGGCTGCGGAAGATGCTGATGCTGCCCGAGACCGAGACGGTGAGCCAGAGTCCGGCGGAACAGCCTCTGTGGAGGAACGGGGAGCACGTAGCCATCAGGGTCAGACTCCTTCTGCCGGCGGTCGCGAACA